CTGTGAAACCATGTGTAGAATGAGACCTGGTGTCTTTCCTGAATTAGTTCTCTGATCAAATGTAAAGACAGACGAGGACTGAATGGTCTCTTGACCACATGGAAACTGACCCATCATTCCCACCACTGCTGCTGACTTTTGCAACCATTAATGTCATGTCTGTGCAGATATGTCCCAGTCATCAAGATCATGTCATACTTGGCAGTTCAAAAGGTGGCCACATGGTGGCACCCTACATTGATCGTAGGTGTAATAATCAAAACCAAATTGATTATGGTTAGGGTCATGTGCAAAACCATTCCTAGCTGCAGCAAATGTCCAGTAATAGTTATAGTTGTTGAGCCATTAGTGTTGAAACCAGAGACAGTGACGGGTCAGTCCAATCCCCCCCCCCCCCCCCCCCCCGCACCTCATCTGCATCCATTTAATCGACATCAGCTACTTTCCCCTGTTTTTGTCTGTGTGAGTCACGGCGTTCAAACCCAGTCTCCAGTGTGAGTTTGGAGTCAGACTTTGCATTTGGGGGGTCCCAGCGTCGGGGCCTTTCTATGGTTTGGAGAGCAGCCTGAGTGGCTTCACCACACTCTGTTTGTCTTGGACAGACTTTAGCAGGAAAACCATCACCCAGAGAGGATCATGAAACTGGCCCCAGAAGTGCTCTCTGAAGCCGAGAGGGACATCAGTGGAGGTTTGGGGTGGGGGTGGCGGAGGAGGGGGGGCAACCGTCCTAATGTGAAATAAAAACACTGTCAGTTTGCTGATTACTTTAGCCGTAACCGTCTTCAACTCTTCACCACCAGATCAACAGCAGGATCACTGTCTTCAAACAGTTCTGTTGCCAGTGAAGTAATCAGAGACCACGAGCTCTTAGCCAGTGACTCTAGGATGAATGAAAATATGAAATGATCGGCGAGGCCTCAGCCCAGTGGTGGTTTCCTTTGCAGCTCTGTGTTGGTCAAAGTCCAGCAGAGAAAATGATGGGAGATTTTCCACTGCATCCTTGGACGGAATCTCAGTGGTTGTGTTTCCCAAGATCCGGGTCACAACGTGTCCCCCCCCCGACTTTGGAAAAACTTGAAATGGATTACTTGCATATGTGTGGGCGCCGATGGCAATTAGTGGGGGTGGGCGCATGTGTGTGTGAGCATGTGCGGCTGGGGACTGTTGCATAATAAGCTGAGGATACAGATTTAGTAGTAAATATGACATACAGTAGAAGAGTAAAACATCTCTGCACAATATGACAAACATTTGTCTAAATTAAAATATAAAACCTTTTTATAGTTAATGAATGAACAAAGAACAGCAAATGTATAATTAAAATGTATGTCATATAAAAAAGGGATGTAATTAAATTCAATTTAACGTGAAATATTTGCCATTTCAAACCAGCAGAGATTTCAGATAATAACAACGACCCAGAGTTTTCACTCATAAATCATTTCAAATGAACAGGATCCTATTATTAGGCAAAGCTTCCATTTGAACTCCTTTGTCTTTACTCTCTGTGTCCACAGTGTCTCTGGGATTTGAACCAGCATTCTTTACACCACTGTCTTCCCAAAAGAACAGAGCGGGTCAGTGTTTTGTTCTGTTATTTAGAGCACTCACTTCAGTGATTTCCTCCCATGTGCCCCATCACAGGCCTGTCTGATTGTCTCGGGTCACTGGTGCTCATGATGTTTTTATTTTTGAAAAAAGGTCTGCGTTTCTCTCCGTTGAAGGACTAAACAGGAACCATGATGAAGATGGCGCTCCCTCTTCTGATCTGGACCCTGTGGGCTGATGTCAGGGGTGACCAGGCAAAACCAGCCCGAGTTCCTCTAATCTCTCACCGGCCTTTTGTCGTAGTTTGGAACGCTCCTACAGAATCCTGTCGCCTTCGGTTCAAAGTGGACCTCGACCTTAGCGTTTTTGATATTGTTGCAAATCTGAATGAGACCCTCAGTGGACCCAATGTCACCATATTCTACCACAGCCACCTGGGATACTACCCGTATTACTCTAACTCTGGTGTCCCGGTTAACGGTGGGCTGCCACAAAACCAGAGCGTCTCCAAACACCTCAGCAAGGCCCGCGTCGACATTGACAAGCTGATCCCCCACAAAGACTTTCGGGGACTTGGGGTGATCGACTGGGAGAACTGGAGGCCTCAGTGGGTCAGAAACTGGGGTTCCAAGGACATCTACCGCAAGAAGTCCAGAGAACAAATTCGCAAACTTCATCCTAATTGGCCTGAGAGCAAAGTGGACAAGGAGGCAAAGGAAAGTTTTGAAAAGGCCGGACAAGCCTTCATGAACCTGACCTTAGCGCTGGCTAAATCCCGCAGGCCCGACGGGCTGTGGGGCTTTTATCTTTTCCCCGACTGCTACAACTATGGGTACAAACATCACACGCATCATTACACTGGAGAGTGTCCCAATGTTGAGCATGTCCGCAACGACCATCTGATGTGGCTGTGGAAGGAGAGCACAGCCCTTTATCCCTCCATCTATTTGGACCACGAGCTGAAGTCCTCAGTCAACACCGTCAAGTTCGTCCACTACAGAGTCAAGGAAGCCATGAGGATCGCATCCATCGCACGTACGGACTTTACGTTGCCCGTCTTTGTCTATTCCAGACCTTTCTACGCCTACACTTTCCTGGTTCTTTCAGAGGTACGTTCAGATTTAGGAAACACCAGAGAAAATTTAATGGTAAAAATAAATTCTTATATATGTACATGACGATAAATAAAAAAGTTATGTAATCGTTAACGGGTTAAAATATGTGTCCACTTCTTTCAGAGTGACCTGGTTCACACCATCGGAGAGAGCGCTGCTTTGGGAGCGTCAGGTGTCGTCCTCTGGGGATCGTCAGAGTATTCGCAATCACAGGTTGGAATTCTGTGGAACTTTTAAGTTTAAAGCTGGTAGCAGAGTAAAAATCCATCACTGCCATTTTATTTTTTTCAACATGGATTTCAGAACTGCAGCTTCAGCACGCTGCAAACACAACCTAATGTATGTAATTGTGGGCTGCTCCGTGTGGGCAAACGTCAGACCAAGTAATGACCTGCGGTAACGAACTGCAGCTTCAGCACGCTGCAAACACAACCTAATGTATGTAATTGTGGGCTGCTCCGTGTGGGCAAACGTCAGACCAAGTAATGCCCTGCGGTAACAACTCTCTCCGTCTCTTTTCGCTGAACCCCCCCCCCCTCCATTTCAGCTCGGTCTGAGACCCCTGCAAAGATCAGCTCATAACTGAAAACTGCTCCAACATCCACTGTAAAGCATTACCATATTTGTGACACCACAGTTAATTAGCCCTGACCCCAAAAGACAGACAAATATGTTGAGCTACTTACAGCTTCCAACCCACGTCAGCGACTACTTTCAATTGTGTTGCACAATAAAAACCACATGGATTAAAGAAACTGCAATTTTACATGACAATAATCACAGGAGTCTGGAACGCTAGTATTTATGATGTGCTACAATAAAAATAGGCATAAATGTTCCGTTTGGTTGAGTTGACTGTTGAACGTCAGGGCATTTAACTTTAAATGACTAAGAACAACTTCAAAAACTATTGTTCTTACACAAATTATTATAATATAATATTTAATATAAAAATTAGAGCTGCAACAGCTGGAAAAATGACATGTCAGTTTTGAATCTTTAGAAAACAATATGCACTGTCAAAGCTGTTCTGTTCATGTGCTTTCTTGTTGGGCCAGAGGAACTGTCTGACGGTGAAGAAGTACATCGACGGTCCGCTGGGACATTACGTCATCAACGTCACGTCTGCTGCCAAGCTGTGCAGCAAAGCGTTGTGCAAGAAGAACGGCAGGTGCGTCCGCAAGAGAATCAACTCTGGGGCTTACCTGCACCTGAATCCACGCTTCTTTCACATCCACCACAACCCAGCGTCCAAAGGTGCCCACTTCCATGTCAGAGGTCATCTCAACAACCATGACATCCTGGACATGAAGCACAAGTTCAGCTGCCAGTGTTACCAGGGCTGGGCTGGTGTTCACTGCGAGATGCCGCAGGCTGCGGCTGATTCTGTTCCACCCTCATCACAGCCGACTGTTCCTCTTCATCATCCTCATCACAACAGCATAGCGGGAAATATTTTGCTCCTGCTTTCCCTCCATTTCTCCTGTCTGTGCATCATCATGTTTCTAGGACTGTGTCTAATAATCAAGTGCCTAATTTTGTAATCAATAAAAAAATGTGCACCATGACTTAACAGGCAGTATTTCTACAAAGTACAAAAAAAAAAATTATCGATTCCTTAGCCTCAGTTGCCTATTGGTTAACTGTTTACACCCTTTTTAGATCATTTATACTGACAAACTGACATCAGACGATTGTGGCATCAGCCTAAATCTGTGCTTGTGCCTAGGTACGGTACGGTATGGTACGGTACAAAGAAATTGATCTGCTTTGTACATTGGTCTCGTAGTATGCCTAAGCCAGGCATATGTGTTAATAAGTGGAATAAATATCACATAAACCTTACAGTCACAGGGTGTCAAAAATAATGTTGTACGGTATGGAATTATGAGCGTGGCAAAAAAGCATGTGATTGTGGTGCAGGACGTGTACTGTTCAGCATGAGAAGGAATGGAAAGAAGTCAGGGATCCTGATCAGGGATCAGATTATGGGATTCTGTATTTGTTATGATGGTGGAGGATGTCGACCACAGACTGTGAAGTTAGAGATGGAAAATGTATGGAGCTATTTATGGAAGTAGGAATGGAAATTCAGAAAATCAGTTGCACCATTACAGATTAAATGGAGATCATTGGTTTTGCAAAACCTGACAAATGATCCAGGAAAATACTGTAATAAAATAATATCATATTTATACTTGTAGTAGATCAACCGTTGGAAATTAAATATTTAGAAAAATAAAGAACATAAATCCAGTGTGTTGGTGTGTTGAGTTTTTCACATAGAGAAAATAAGATGACTAATATTTAACTACAGTGTTTTTCATATTATTTTCCCCACATTTTCTCATTAAATTCTTCTCACATTAACCAACCTCTCTACAGTCAACCCGTAAATAACTCAGCTCCACCCAGTCCTTTATTATCCCCATTGAAAAACATGTCTTTCTTCAAATTTCCAGTATCAAACTTTGTCCACAAAAAGAAATCCCTACATCAGTAGAAACAAGCGAGTACAAGTCTGTTGGAGCAGAGGCAGACATTTGTGAATATTTCCGACAGCGCATTCCTGTTTGTATCATCATGAGATCACGATGACCGGCAGATGAGGACGTACGTAAACACCCAGAGAATCTGCGCTTCCTCTCAGTCAACTCCAAGAATGTGAGAACTGCGAAAATTATAGTTATATCACAAAATAATTAGTCCTCTTCAAGGGTTTTTATATGACCACATCTGAAGTACACTATATCAACTTCATAAAACAAACAGCTGAGGTTTATCATTCAATGGATCCTAAATAGACAGAAACCAAACACCTGTAATTTCACAAACCTCACGCTCTGGCTTACGCCTCTACTTTAACTAATAACCATAATCAGCTGCAGAGCAGCGTCAGCAGTAGCTCTGCATCTTCTGCTCGACATTAAGCTACAGACACATGACGCGTTTTTTGTTTTTTGGCTGAATCTAAACATATAATCTTAAAGAAATCGGAGCAACATTTATGGGATTCAATGGTTGCAGAACTGTTCTAAACATATAATCTTAAAGAAATCGGAACAACATTTATGGGATTCAATGGTTTCAGAACTGTTGTCGCATGTCTCTAAAAAAACAATTATCAAAGGTGTATGTGTCACATTAGAAAAATAGTGTGTTAGTCTGAGCAAAACAGAGGTCAGAGGAGTAAAAGTGTGAATAACAAAAAATTCTTGGTACTCGACTGAAGTAAAATTATATATATATTTAAAGATATATATAATGTGTTTAAAAAGAACTAAACTAAATGTAGCTATAGCAGCTATATGAGAGTTTGCGATTCTAATTAAACCTTACTTTCATATGTGATCCTAAGTGGGAAGTACATCGAATGTTTTTTACTGTTCATGTAGTTCACTTCGAAGCTGTAGGCAGTTCACACTGGAGCTCAAAAAAAAAGAAATTTAACAACAAGTCCTTCAGTGTGAACACAACTAAAACACCTACAACACCATTGACAAATGCACGCAAAGAATTAATAAAAAATAAGCATTGTAACTTTAAATGACTTTGACGTTCGTTTCTACCCCATCAGCCCCAGAAACCTGACTTGTCCTGCACACGTGCGACGGTGCAGCTGTTTTTTGTTCCATTCCCACCTCTGTTTGGTTCTCTATCAGCCGTTCCAGCGTTGCTGCCTTTGCATCACTTTCACCTGTGGCTGATTACAGGCCTCATCAAACGTGAGCTAAACATTTATGGTCGATGTACACAAACAATTAACATAAGTTCCAAACACCCTTGACTGAAGTTTCACCTCAGAAACAGTTCCAGGTGCAAGCAAAACATCACAACCAGCTCAATTTCCGACTCTGACAGCAATGACTGATGACTTACTGCTAACTATCATTTACTGTAAGCCTGTGAGATATGTGATTTCCCAGGTTACACTTGAACATTTACAATAGATATATCCAACCTCCTTCCAATAACTCCCTGTCCAAAATGGTAGAATTGGTTAACTGGGATTTTTTTGTCTAAACTTTGTTTGGTATTTTTGCTTTATTTATACACACCATACCAGTTTTTTAGGGGAAAGTATGGGCAGGATGTTTGTAAACCGATGATTTCCCGTGCCCTAAAAGACACACATGTTTAACACACTGGTTGTCCCTTTATGAAATGTTTTGTCAATTTTGTCTTGGTTGCTATGCAACTTGGGACACAGCAGTGTCCAGTAAAAGTTTGGGCAGTCTTCAGGGTTTACACCTGAAAGTTGGATGTTTTTTGCACGTTTCAAAATAATCAGACCAATTGCTGACACCGGGTTTCCAGGAGGTTTTGCGTATGTTCAAAATGTTGCGATGTTAAAAGAGGTGCATGAATGATTTCTGTTCAGTTGGAGTACAAGTTGGAAATCTAGTCTGTAACTTTTTGCATTGTTGCAAAAAGCGACTCAGGTCAAAGGAAGTCAAAGTCACCCCCCCACCTCCCCCAGTACAAACATCAGCTCGGCGTCGGTGTGTTGATTTTGAATCTAGTCGACCACTCAGATCCTGGTCCTACATCAACACAACAAGTCAGCAAAGCTCCTGCGGGTCCAAAAAACGCAAATCTGGGCTGGTTTGTGAGGATGGCATTAGAAACAATAATACACGACAAGACGGGAGGAATGACAGGCAGAGAAATCCACCAACATGTGAAACCAACCACAAGTCTGTAGAGAGAGGGCGCTGACTCCTGCTGATCACTCAGCCCTTACATCTGTTTAAAGTCAAAGGCGCCATCTGTCTGGATTAGGCTGTAGAGGAGGTTTGATTATCTTTCAGCAAGGATGTGGAGGTAGAGCACAAAAATGATCCTCTAAAGTGTGGAGAAAAGAAACGCATTTGAAATAAAAAAAATCTCCTCTCTGAAATAAAAAGGAACAAAGGGACAATTTGAAATCCTGAATATGATACTGCACGTCTGGGGTCGGAGGATTCCAAGTCAGATCAGTCCATATGGTGAGGAAAGAATTCCACTTTCCTTTGAATTGAATTTCTCTGAACAAACACTTTGCATAAAAGGGCAGGCGCCGTGCATTCTTTTTCAGATCCAAATCAGTTCCTTTTCTGCGGACAACCTTTGATATCAAACGTGGTATGTACTGAGTGCAGACTGAGCCCAAGCCATTGCTTCCTCTACGGGCAACTTGATGCCTCATTACAGCTGAGACCATCAAAGTGGTCGAAGGATCCACACTGTCTGAGCCCAGACTTTCTC